CATTTGATGAATGTTTTTAGAATATTTAGATTTTCTACCTACTACTTATTTAATCTTTCACAATGATGTGTTTTTATTAAAAAAAATAGGGATTTGCTATTTTCCAGGTGCATGAAAAATAGCATTTGTTCATGCAATAGCTGTGAGTCATGAGATGAAGATCTAACGGATCAAATGTACGAATCTTGAAGCAAGATCAAAGGATCACATTATTGCCTAAACCAAAGACAGATTTTAGACACGTTTTTTAGGAAAAGTGAAAAAAAAATGGTAAGAGAAGTTTCATTTATATTGTAAAATGAGAATGAATTGTAATTTGAATAGAGGAAGTACAGTAGCAATCTATCCATCTATATTGATTGGTGTGCAAAACACTTGAATTAAAAAATTTCCTAAAGATAAATTCATGTACAAGCCAAAACACGTTACCAGCCTGTTCATTGGTTGGTTTTAGGCAGGACTTATCAGCCATGATATAACACATTACCAGCAAAGAGTTTATCAGTCATGATACAATGTTTTCTTCTTACGATAAACCAGCACCGACCGTACTTATCAGACCAGAAACTAACCAGCCCTGCTACGTCACCTTTTGTACATTCGTGTGCATGTACACTTTTTCACCTGTTGTTAAATCCTCACCGGTGCCGGCGGGTCAACGGTAACTACACACTCAATACCATCGTGCGCCTTGTCGGCCGTCAATGGCGCGACGCACCCCTCCCTCTCCAGAGGCGCCATCTCCGTCGCCGCGTCCTCCTCACTGCCCCTCACGTGGTACAGGCTGCCATCCTCCACGTCGTACAGGTTGCCCGTCCTGACCTCCTGCGCCAGCGCGCACGGCGCACAGAACAGCCACTTGACGTAGTCCGCCACGGCCGGCCGGCCGCCGCACATGGACCGGTCCGCGGGCAGCCCGAATCGCCTGCGCATCTGCGCGCGCCAGAAGCCCCCGTACGTGAGGCCGAGCACGGAGAGCAGCGCGCCCGTGGCGCCGACGAGGTACCCCAGCGTGGGGTCGTGGATGTTGAGCGCGGCGACGGCGAACACCAGCACCGGCGCGGCGCAGAGCAGCGCGAACGTGAAGACGTGCACGTACATGTTGCCCATGCCCATGCGCTCCATGTTCCACCCGAACACGCAGAACGCGCAGGTCAGGGACAGCGCCGCCACCGTCGGGTCGTCGGCGAGGTCGAACAGCCCGCCGGCCCACTCCGGCCTGGCGACCGCCACTCTGCTACCGCTGCTGCACTGTGCCTCCTCGTTGGCCATCACCGCGTCTTTCACCGCGACGGCCTCGTCGTCGTTGTCGGTGGACACCTCCGGGAGCTGCACGATCCTTCTGCCGAGCGGGCCGTAGACCATGTAGAGCGCGGCGGCGACGGGGGCGGCGAGCCCGAACCCCATGCAGAAGTTGACGGCCCAGTCGGGGCGCGTCTCGCTGCTGAACGCCCAGAAGAGCGTGCAGTAGGCGTACTGCGCGAAGCACGTGGCGTGGAGCAGCAGCAGCACGACGGCGACGTGGAGACGCTCCCGCCGTGGGCCGGCGGCGGCGTTCTTGCAGTAGACGCCGCGTAGCTCGGCGGCGTCGGCGTCGCGCCACCGGAGCAGGAGCGCGAGGTGGTGGAAGAGCCGCGGGTGCTGGTACACGCACATGATGGTGAAGAGCGCGTTGAGCACCTGGTTGGCCACCTCCGTCCACCGCCGCCGCCGGGACGCGTCGGGCACCGCGGAGTTCAGCGCGCCCGTCATGAGCAGGAACACGAACGCGACGCCCGCGACGACGAAGGCGAGCCACACGAGCAGCGCCGCGTTCGTGGGGCGCCTCGCCCAGGCCTTGCACCGGGCGCGCAGGGCGCGCCAGTCCACGGTGCGCACGAACGCCGGCGCGCGGAGGGATAAGAGGCGGGCGTAGGCTGCCGGTGCGTAGGCGGCAGTGCGCGCGCTGACGGTGGCGACGCGGCGGAGCATGGCTTGCGGAGCGTTGACCCCGAAGCGGTGCAGCCATAGGTCCTTGGAAGGCGCCGCCCTGAGGAAGTCCAGGAACCTCTCCTTCTTCGCCTTGCCATGGGGTTCGACTTGCTTGCCTGATGTCTCGTGTGACTCCATGGTTGCAAGCTTCTCCTTGTCCATCAGAGCTGCGAGGGTAATCCCTCCAGTTTCCATAATCTGAAGCTACTAGTTGTACTAGTTAGTTGCAGGTGTTCAACATATATACCCAGTGCATGATATGATTTGGTTAGGGTTATTTTAACTGTAACGAAAGGGATTAGTAGCTTGGTGTGCATTCTTTCTGGTAGAAGAGTGCAGTATTGACCCATGACCCCTGTTAAATTTGGCAGGTTTCTGCTGAAACTTCAACCTGGTCTTGTTGCTGGTGCTTGAAACAGTCAGAAGATTTCATCAGAGAATAGCACTGGGAAGTCAAGATGGGAAGGCACAGTGAATGGACCAATTCAATTCAGTCTCGAGTGCACGTGTATACATTCAGGTTCATAGATATGCAGCTCTTGCATTACTGATGCCATAACAGACTCCCAGGAAGATACTGGATGATGCAGAATATTCATATCATCAGTGAATCAACTTTGGCATGCTGTCAAAGTTCAGTTGAGGCAAAGCTACGTCCAAATGTATGGGAGAAACCGAGGAAGACCAAATGTATGGGAGAAACCGAGAAAGCTACGGCCGTTCAGACTGGACAAAGCTACGTCCAAATGTATGGGAGAAACCGAGAAAGACCATTCTTCCAAGTACATGATTAGTGTGGATGCTATCTAGACTACTTGAATCGACTTGGTACACCAAAAAAACAATAAGTTTGACAACATGTAATCAGGACATCGGAAAAAAAGGAGAGAATTTCTTATTTGACACCAGACACAAATGACCCGTTCCTTTCTTGACCATCAAAAAATTTATGTTCCCTATTGGATACCGAGTTCAACTTTCATTTCTTATACGACACTCCGTTGGATTTGCCATCCGTGAACCGTTAACTGCCCTGTGAAAAGACGATTTTGCCCCTGTGGGCCCCACCACCTTTCTCCCTCCTCTCCTCCCCTTCTCCCTCTTATCCGCGCCCGTATAAGCAGCACGCCGGCGGTGGAGAAGGTGGCGCGTCGTGGCCCCCGCCAGCCGTCCCCGCTGCTGTGGCCGGAGTCCCCTCCCTCCTCCAACGAGCCGCGCCACCCTCCTCCTCCACCGAGGAGGAGGAGAAGAGGGTGAGCTGCCGGCAGATCCGGCCACCGAGGTGCGTCGCCGCCGCCGCCGCCGCCGACGGAGAAGAAGAGGCGACGCGCCGCCGACAGGGCTAGCCACGGACCGGAGCCGTAGGCGGGGAAGAGGAAGAGGTGACCACACATGGCAAAAGGGGCTACGACGGCGAGCAGCGCACACAGCGCAGTGAGAGAGGAGCAGGGGCCCAGTAGCGGAGGCGTAGCGAGCCGGGTACCGGCTCCTCCCGGTGACCATACCTACGGCGGCGTAGGCGACCGTGCTGGGGGCTGCCGCTCTGGGGGGCTGCCCACGGCAGTGCGCCGCATGCGCAGGGGCCCGAGCGCTCGGGCCGCCCGTGCTAGGGTTGCCGCTCCGAAGGCCGGACGCGTCGAGGGCTTCCCTTGCGGCGCTGATGCGCCGCCCGAGAGGGTCCATGCCTGCGCCGACGCGCCTCCCGCGTGGGTGGCCACGTCAGGAGGGAGGAGAGAGAGAGAGAGAGAGAGAGAGAGAGAGAGATGCGCGCACGGCGGGGGGAGGGGAGGCGGGATAGCGACCACGGGCCCGCGGTTGCCGGCACCGGCGGGTCCGGCCGCGCCGAAGGGCGGCGGTCACGGGGGCCCGGCCGCTGCACTGCTAGATCTAGAGGAAGAGGAGAGAGAGGGAGGAAGAGGAAGGAAGGGGCATGCTCCAGCGTCTCTACGGACACGTCGGGAGAAAGGGAGGAGAGGAGGGAGAAGGGTGGTGGGGCTCATAGGGGCAAAATCGTCTTTTCACATGGCAGTTAACGGTTCACGGATGGAAAATCCAACGGAGTGTCGTATAATGAATGAAAGTTAAACTCGGTGTCGGAATGAAAAAAATTTTGAGGGCCAAGAAAGAAATGGGTCATTTGTGTGATGTCAAATAAGGAAATCTCTCTAAAAAAAAAAGAGGAAACATGTAATAAATGCTTTTCAGCACACCATGTGAGAGTTGCAGAGTTCAGTATGGCATTTACTCCGTAGATCTTCAGATTTAGACAAAAAAAAAGAACATGAATAAAGATAATCAGATTTCATAAGTTCAGAAAAACAGGTGCCAAACCAGCGTCTGATAAATTCGTAGACATACTCAACTCTATTGTGTTCTACTCTGCTCTTTACAGAATTATGAATAGGCGCAGAAGAAAAATTCAGGTTCATGGCCCCGTTCGGCTCGCTGAAACTTGCCTGACTTGGCTGAAAAACACTGTTCCGGCTGAATTGTTGTAAGAGAAAAATACTATTCCGACTGAAAAAACAAGCTGAATAGTACGGATTATAAGGTAAGCCGAACGGGACTATGAAAAAACAAGCTGAATAGTGCCCAGGCCTGATCATTTTCGTCTCTTATACTCCTTGCCATTTCAATGCTGTTGCAAAACGTCCGGATAAAGTTATACAAACATATGTCTAGTTGGCCTTCATCTGTTTTCAGAAATACAGTTCATATGCTTGCGAATGATTGAGCTGTTGTAAAGTTTGTTCTTTTTTTGAAACACGGTGACACGAATACAGACAGAAGAAGCTGTACAAAATGCCTTTACTTTCCACATTGCAGCTGGGCTTTACTACTCCCTATTACAAAATCTACAATTCCATCTAAATCTTGTGCACTTCTGTGACAAGTATGTGTTCCTGTATATACACACCAATAAACTCCATAAAGAAAAGAATCGATTTCCTGTAATCCTATTTTCACCAACAAAGTGGAGAAAAGAAGCATCTACTGCACAACATAAATCCCCAATTTCCACTGCTTCTCTACAGAACAATCCCCCTGGTGTACAAAAGAATGAGCAGAGACACCAGGGTGACCATGTTGATCAATCTCTTCACCTTCTCCACTCTCCAACTCTCATCAGACGACATACTATGATCAACATCTTCCACCATTTCTCGGTTCGACTTCGCCTCCAATAACGATACATCATCTTCCTCGCTCGCCGTCGCCGATGACGAAACAGAAGAACTGCTCGTCTCCCCGTGACGAACAACACTGCCCTCGTCTTCCACCTGCACAACCACGACCTGAAGAGGTGGTGCCATGGTCGTTTCGTCGTGAACAACAACCAGATGATCATTTGCCGGTGACGCATGTGACACTGAAACCGTGTCCGCAGCACTGAAAACGTCACGATGCTTGGAGGACACCGCGAGCAACGGCTGCCCGCTGTCGACGTGATCATCATCGTCAACGACCTTGGAGTAGAAGACCTCGCCGTCGACGTGGTACATGCTCGCCGTGCGGACCTCCTGCGCCAGCGCGCAGGGCCAGCAGAACAGCCACCGCGCGTAGTCCGTCAGCGACTTGGAGCCGCAGCACGCCGCGCTCCCGGGGAGCCCGAACCGTCTCCGCATCTGGATCCTCCAGTACCCGCCGTAGAGCAGGCCGCCCACGCACAGCAGCACGCCGGCGGCGCCCACGGCGTCGCCGATGACGACGTTGTGGATGTGCAGCGCCGAGACGCCGAACACCCAGAGCGGCGCGAAGCAGAGGAGCGCGAACGTGACGGCGTGCACGCACGCGTTGCCGAAGCCCAGCCTCTCCATGTTCCACCCGAACACGCAGAACGTGCACGACAGCGAGAGGCACCCGGTCGCCGCCGCCTCGCCGCCGCAGTCGAGCATGCCACCGGCCCACTCAGGCTCCACCACGACGTGACCACTTGACGTTGGATTCATCTTTGTTGCCGCTGACAAGGCTTGTTCGGAGCAGGCGAGCTCGTGGCACTGGTCGCCTTTGCCCAAGGGGCTGCACACGGTGTACACGGCGGCGGCGACCGGCGCGACGATGCCGAGCACGAAGAAGCTGTCCTCGGCGAGCTCCGGGCGCGTGGTCCTGGTGTACCCCCAGTAGAGGCCGCAGAGCACGTACTGGGAGACGACGGTGACATGCAGCAGCACGACGACGACGGCGATGTGCGCGCGGTCCCCAGGGCGCGGCGCGGCGGCGGCTCCGTGCTTGCAGTAGTCGGCGCGGAGCTCGGCGGCGTCGGCGGGGCGCCAGCGGCAGAGCAGGAAGAGGTGGTGGCAGAGCGCCGGGTGCTGGTACAGGCTCATGAGCGTGAAGAGCGCGTTGAGGACCTGGTTGTTGATCTCGATCCAGCGGCTCCTGTCCGCCGCCGCCGGGAACGCGCCGTCCAGGAGACCCAGGAGGAGCAGCACGAACATGCCGCCGGAGACGCCGACGCAGAGCAGCCACAGCACCAGCGCGATGTTCATCGGGTTCGCGATCCACTCCGTGCACGTCCCGCGGACCGAGGCCCAGTCGACGCCGCTGGGCTTCCGGCGGCGCCAGACGGAGGGGAGCTCTCCTTCTCCGAGGCAGTGCGCGCTCCGCTGCGGCTTGCCGTCGAGGAGGAGGTGCTCGGTGAGTGCCGGCGTGGGGAGTCTGTAGCTGTGGAGGCGCACGCTGGCGCCATGGTGGCCTCCGGTGGTTGGAGCATCGTCGCTGCCGGCCACAGCCATGGCGCGACGGAAGTGGTACGTACGCACCAAGAACGTGGGCTGGCATATTTTTCTTGGCGTTTTAATTTGTTGAGAGCCTCTGGCCTCTGCCCTGATGCGAATGAGACATGAGATGAGAGGGGACGGTGAGTTCATGGGTCTCTGGACGACCAGAGTTGACCCAGCAGCCCTGAATGGTCAATCTTGGGTTCTTCTCCAATCTCCAGGTTGAAGAAGCGCCTGCCGTTCAGGACTTGGTGATGCAGCTTCGTTAGGTTTTAACACGTTGCAAAAAAAAAAAAAAAAAAAAAAAAAGTGTTGACTTTGTCTATGGGATGAGGAAACTTGGAGCATATAACTTCCTCAGTTACTTTATTTGTTCATTATTCTGGGATGAAGAAAAAAATGCTTTCACAAATGGTCTGTCACCGTCACTGTCGCTACTTGGCTTACTGCGATTATTAGAGTAGGCATGCTGTACAGGATCGATCGACGTCATTTGATGAATAGAGAGTTTGTTTGTTTTTCACATAATAAGACTTATGTAAAGACACAGGACATGACTGCAACAAACACATTTTCATTAGCTTGTCAAAGTTTAATAAAACCAAATTTTAACTCTTTGAATTGACAACAACTAAATAAATCTTGGAAACTTGTAGAAAAATCATTAAACCACTTATTTTAGTTAGTGTTTTCATGTCAAAACCTACAATTAAAATTTTTGGGGGAATGACATGGCGAGATCGTGTCTAAACAAGCTCAAGCTCAAGGATAAGAATAAGGGAACGAGAGGAAAAGTCATGCTCTCGCTACGATCAAGACATGGGGTGACACCTCAAACGTTTGAGAAAGAAATCCAACACAAGAGGCATGGTTTTCTAGTATATAACCTGTATTTTCGTATATAAATCAAAGATGCCACAGTTTACGTTTGCGAGCTTACGACCTTTGCATGATTATCGGCTTGCCGTTGTCTTGAATTTAGACGAATCAACATCAGTTGTCGACACACTTTTAATTTACGTACGCAGAGGTGGGGTTTGCTTCAGAAGGTCATCACAAGTTGTCACACCACAAAACAAACAGATATATATTTCTCAAATACGAGCATATATAATACCGTAGCAAGGCATGAAAAATATAATGAAATAGTGAAAAGTACGTACACCATGCACCGATTGCAAACTTTCCTAAAGCCACCCCACAAACCGTTTACTACAATCATGAAGTCTCCTACGTACACCTAAAAAAATGCACCCAACAACAGCAAACCTTTCAAATGAAAGGATGAGATTCACTCTACTCTCTCCTTTCTCTCACCCACTCAAATCCAATGACCCAGAGTGGCCGGTCCAAACCTCATCACTCATCTCTCCTTTCGTACCCCGCCCACCCTACGCGAACACGCGGCCCTCCCTCTCCCCGACACCCCCTCTCACGCTTGACTCCTCTCCCCTAGGCATGAGTCAGGCTCCTTGTCTCCCCTCCCTGCCCTATTGCGTCGCATGATCCAATGAGTAGTAAAAATTGCATGCTCATTTGATCATGATCCAATGAGTATGAAATTTTTAATACAATTCAAGCATATAATATTTAGCACATCATAAAATTTTCACCACAATTAGACTATAGAAACTGCAGCTATGAATTAATTATAGAAAAGCATAGATCTAAAGATACAGCAAAAAAAATTGTACTAAAGCATACCATATTATATGTTCACTATGTAGATCTACTCACGTGGAGTCCAACAAAATTGGATTTTCTATTTTATGATTTTTCTGTGATGTACTGCGATTTTTAAAAAATTTAGTCGAAATAAATAAATAAAAAAACAAAACCGTCTTTGAAAACCATTTATAACCGGTCAGGGAGGTAAAATGGACGGTTTTAAAAGTTCAAGGAGGTGGTTTATCTAATTTTAGAGTTCAGCGAGGAAAAACAGAAACAGAAATCATGTGGGAGTTGGCCCATTCTATTACCTCCCGGTTATGTGGGACGGCGGCGTTCCTGGCGTGGACCGCTGGTGGTCGGCCACGAGGAGCGATGGGCTTGTGGCGTGGCAGTGTAGGATGGAGCGTCCGAATTCGAGGATAAGTATACACACACTAAGTTTAATATAGCTCCGCCCCTGAATGGAACCAATATATTTTGCAACCAGACTCTCTGTCGTTCTGACCACAACTAGTTCTCGTAGGACATGGATATAAAATTATGAGATAATAAAGGATCGGTAGGGATTATATACTAGGCAGGCCTGCTAGTGGGTTGGGTAATATTTGGAGTTTTCAGGTTGGGTTGTGCTATGGAACTGTTTGGATGGGTGGTAATGGGTTTAGAGTTTAAACGGGTTGGGATGGGTTGGGTTTGCTAGCCAGAATGGGCCAAAATTTTCCCAATCTTCCGATCACGTCGAGTCGCACACGACGGCCGCGCCGGCGCCGGACCTCACCGATCTTGGGCTCGCGGGGTGTTGACGGAGAGGAGCTGCTGCATGTGCAAGAGGCTGCGCAGCGACAGGCACTCGTCGGCGGCCGTCTGCGCCCGCATCCCAGGCATGGGCACGAAGAAGGATAGGTCGCCTGGAAGAGGCGCGATGCACGGCGGTGGCGACCTGCACGCGGCGCCTCCAGCTGCGGCGCCCCGGCCCACCTCCTGCCCCCGCCGGAGGACCCGGCACCGCGTGCATCCGGTCCACCTCCTGCTCCGTCCGCGCGGCCACGGCCGTGACCTCCGCGGCGCCGCCACCTCGAGCTCCCCGCGCGCCTTCGTCGACCAACCAGCAACCAGCCAGCCGATTGACAAAAAAAAGGGCCGCGGCAGCAGGCAGGAGCCGGAGAGGAGTAACGGGGACGAGGAGAATAGAGGAGGCAGCAGAATCGTTGGCTGTCTGCCATCACGGACGAAGCAAGCAGAAGCCATGGCAACCCACGGCAGAAGTTCCTTGGCAATCCAAGACAGGGTGGGTTGGATATATGTTAATTTGGAATGGGGTGGGTTGGAGATGAAAAATAATTAATTAAATTTGGAATGGGGTGGAAATGGGCTGGGATTTCATATATATATATATATATATATATATATATATATATATACACACTATTCTACACTCTAGGTGTAGAATACTATTCTACGTCAAGCTGTTATACTAAACAAAATTTAGTTCTGTTTAGTACTCGCGTTTCAGTATTATTCGGTATTTCACGATACTGGGTGTAGTACCGACTGAGACTAGACGTGGTTTAGTACTACTTAGTATTTTTTTTTTGACTTGTGGTCACCTAGAATGTAGAATAGCGCTGCCGTATACTCTATAGAGGAAGAGTATGCTCTGTAGCTGGCTAAAAGAATAACTTATTCCCTATAGGCAGGCCATCAGGCGCACCAGGGTTCACGCAACGAGCGCACCTGGCCGAACCAAAACCCCACCCCGGCCCACAGCTGATAAGGAGCAAGCCGAGCCGACGGAGCAGGAGCCTTGGCTTGCGTCTATTATTAGTAGACGCATGCATAATCAACGTCAGATTTGCATGCAGGTCATATACAGGCTGCATATTACGGTTAAAGAAAAGAGCTATGATTGAGACTACACGTAAATACAAACCGTTTGTTACTAGAATACAAATGATTAAAACAATCAAATACTATATATGTATAATCTGTAATTAAAGGAAAATAGCTGTAAATTAGTTACGATAATTCTTGGTTTGATACGATAATTAGATTGGATGGTTATCAATTCACTATAAAATGGTTACGATAATCTGGATGAGTTGTGACGATGGTTAGTTAGGAGATTTAGAACAATTGGATTATATTGGGCTTGTTGTCAGAGAGGGGTTATCCGCACAGCTATTTATCAAAATCAGAACAGGTTACCATAATGACGAGATAAATATACAATGAAATAGGTACAAAAATTAAAATGAATCAAAATGGTAATTAGGACGTGAGTTACTACAACTTCATCTCAAGTCGTTGAAGAGAAAAAATTACTATAATAGGAACACGTTTTAACATTAACTAGTTACTACAACTCGACATTATCATTTACGACAATGGCATATTCAATTTACTATTGTATCTGTGAAAGAATACTTTGATTTACTCTGATAAAGGTATACATTTTGCGATTTACTATAGTCTATGTTGATTTACTCTGATAAAGGTACCTTTTGCAATTTACTATAATCCATGTTCGTTGTATGTCTAGTTACCATTATTTTTATGAATAGATACGATACAAATAGTTGTGAGTTACGATAACTGGGGCAGCCCATGAGTTGCACTTATTTATATGGATGCAAGAAATCTTTACGATAATATTATGTACTTTACACTGAAAAAAAAGGTGTGCACTTACTATAATGGCATAATAATCAATTTACTACAAAAAACATTTCCCACACGTGACCAAGTTACTAAAAAATGATGTCCCACTTATTAAAGTAGCATAATTACAACAATAGGTGTGGCCCAGTCTACTGCCAGTAGAACAAACTTAGTACATTCAAAGGTTGAAGAAATACAGCTTCAAACTAGAGGAAGACTGAGAAAAAAAAATCTGTATGCCAATCTTCATGTCAGCAATTTTCAGGGTGATCATCAACAGACAGATTGACCATAGGCCATGGATTGCAGATGCCATATATCCAACTTTGTAATATGCATTGCCCCATTGGCCCATTGCCGGATCTGTTCTAATCACTCAGGTTGACCAGTCCACCCAAAAAAATTGTGAGGGTCACCCACGCAGTCCTAATCAAGCAGCTGAAATCTCCACAGGTTTCTGAAAGTTAATGCCAAAAACCAGCAATGTTTCAGCACCACATCTAGGTAAATAAATGTTGGCCTTTTCTATCTTCTGATCTCAACAAAATTGCATCGACTGACCTATGACATGAATTGAGCCTTAGAATAATCCTATAAACAAATGAAAAAGTATATTGGAAAATATACAAATGCTAGGCTAGAAAAGTATATTGCATCATGAGTTAAGGGCAAAACTCTGGGAGAGTATGCCCTCTGTCAGGTCAATTGTAGCATCCGAGGTGTGATGTTGTCAACCTGGGACTGGATTAAGAGAGAAAAAAAAGGTGCCAAACACTAAATAGAACTAAAGTATGTTAGCTTTAAAGAGTTTTCGTGCTGACAAAATAAATACTCTGATTCAGGTAACCTGTTAACTAACTTATCTGGTAAAATTACCATAAGAAATCCATGGTCTTCATAAATTCCTGACTCTGATTCAGACAAAAAAAATCGTAAATTTGTCTCTGATTTACGACAAACAAAGTTACAATAATTAGTAGCATGCACAGGAGCATGTATTGTGTTGGCTGTAAAATACGGTATCATTTAGACACTTGATTTTGTCACTATTATCTAAGACGCTGAAACCATGAACACTGACTGCACTAACAGCTACCTGAATCTGAATGAGATCCAAAATTATGGAATCTGGTAAGGTTGATTTTCAGAAAACATGAGTACAACATGAACTCCAGATTCCTCGTTCAATGGACAGACCACAAACCAGATATATGGAATTAACCTAATAAACAAAACTGATGCGCATTAGCCGTGAAAAACATATTTGTTGGATGTCACCAATGAATCAGGCTGAAAGTAGGAAACTGGGAGCAAATAGCCAAACACCATATCCATATGTACGAGGATAGAAAGAAAGACTCATATTCAGCCATTAGTCAGTCAGGTGGATTTGAGCGGTTGCTCACCTTTGGATCCAGTATCCACTGGCTCGAATGATGAGCAAATGCAACGCCATGCACCGGTAAATGATGAGCAGATCCAGTATCCACCAGGATGTTCGTTGCCGATGGTGGATTGATGAATCCCCACCTGGTTCGAGTCTGAGGCGGCGAACGGATCGAGGATTTTTTATTGTATTAAAATTCGAAAAGGCAACAACACAAATAGGGGATTAGATATTGATCAAATCGGATGGGAGGCACCAGAAGTTAGAGCCTCACCCTGCTATCGCATCGCCATGACGGATCTGACAAGCCACGAGACCACAGGATTCGGGGGTGGGGGCGGATCCACGGGGTGGGGATCATTGCCGGTCGCACGGCGCCGAGCCACCGACGGTGAATGAACAAGCGGCGGCGGTTTCTGCGGTTCTTCTCGGAAGGGACAAGCGCCGGAGGATCCGCCGCTCGGCTAGCTCGAGAGTGTCAAATGAAGCCGAGCCGGGAGGGTGGAGCGCGCTCCAGGCTGGGCGGACCTTCATTCCTTTTGTCTTCTGGATGCTGGACAACAGAGGAAGCAACAACAACGAAAGTTGTACATGAAATGAAATGGAGCATGTTCGTATCGTTCTGTGGCCATGCTTTTCTGCTTGGTCTCTCTTTTATACATGTATGTACTTGGAGAAGAGACGAGTGTGCATCACGAAGAAGAAACCTGTTCCAGTGCCTCTGTTGGCTGCGATGTTTGTCATACATAAGAGATTCTTCATCGACCTAGAAGACACATCACCAGACGAAAAACGCGCGAAGTGGAATAAAACGGTAAATCTGTTAGTGATCTCATGCTCGAAGATTGTGTACGTTGCATGCAATCAAAGAAGCACCTGGCCCAAACGCCACACTACGTGTCATTGCGCATGTTGCCGATTTCCTGATCGATATGGCTGCTGCCCTTTAGCTTTGGGGGAACCATGGTTGCCTTGACCAAGAACTGACAGATAAATGAAGATGAAGAAGCTGGGATTTTCGGCAATACACGAAGAGGCTTGCTGTGACAAGTGACATGAATAATGTCCAAAGCTACTACTCCGTACCTACTTTTTAGTTGTTCAATCAAAATCAACCTGAGAGAGTCCTGTGTGCTTTCTTCAGTCATGCTCAAACATGGAAGTGGTGGCTACTGACAGAGAGTCCTGGGATTTTGTTTGTTGTTTGTTACTGCAGAATTCTGTTTGGTGAGGATGCAAAGATTTCCATGGTGCAGTTGAAATAGATGTAATGTCAAATTAAAATAGCACGAGCATCAAGTTTCCCAAAAAACATACTCTGGCAAAAAAAAAAAAAAATCCACGCCACAGAGATTGCCGATCGCTTCGGCTTCACGAATGGCGCGCGTCTTGCCGTACGATGACCGCGGCGGTGCCAGGCGCCACCACAACTAGTGCCAGTGGCAGGGGACGATGCTCCGTGCAAAAGCTTCCTCCTTGATGCCACCTGCAAGTACAGGAGCATCAGCATGGATCTTCCCCCAACCCGCCATTGCCTCCACCGCTTTCTCCGCACTCGGCAGCGGCAGCCGCGCTGCGGCCGTCGCTCCCGCCGCCACGGACCCCTTCGCCATCGCGGACGCCCTCGCCGCCGCCGCGCCACCGTCAATGTCCACTGGCACGCGGCTCCACGCGTCCGCCATAAAGCTCGGCGTGTCCGCCGACACGTTCACCGCGAACCACCTCCTCATCTGCTACGCCAGACGCGGGCGCCTCGCCAGCGCGCTGGACGTGTTCGACGAAACGCCGCGCCGCAACCTCGTCACCTGGACGGCCATGGTGTCCGCCGCGGCGCGCGGCGGAGCGCCTGACCTGGGGCTCGCGCTCTTCTCCTCCATGGTCAGGAGCGGGTTCTGCCCCAACGAGTTTGCTCTGGCTAGCGCGCTCGGCGCTTGCTGCCAGTCCGTGGTGGTGGCTGATGTGAAGCTCGCCCTCTCCCTTCACGGCCTCGCCGTCAAAGCTGGCCTGGATGGCAATCCGTACGTGGGGAGCTCGCTGATGCTGGTGTACGCCAAGCACGGGCGTGTTGCTGCTGTGGAGCGAGTGTTCGCAGGCATAGCTTCCGGTTCCAGAGACATCGCGTGCTGGAACGCGATGCTGGAGGGCTACGTCGCCAATGGCCGTGGGTATGATGCGATGAGGACAGTGGCTCTGATGCATCGTTCTGGAATGACAGCTGACATGTTCACCTACATTTCGGCTGTGAAGGCTTCCTTGATCACCTGCGACTTGAATTTTGGGCGGCAGGTTCACGGTCTTGTCATCCACAGTGTGATTCAGTCCAACACCTCAGTGATGAACACGCTCATGGATATGTATTTCAAAGCAGGACAGAAGGAAGTTGCCGTTGATATCTTTGGTAAGATTCGGTGCAAGGATACTGTTTCTTGGAACATAATGATATCAGGCCTCACACACGATGAGGACGAGAGAGCAGCTGCGGACTGCTTTGTCGACATGTCACGGTACGGCTGCAAACCTAATCAAGTTACGTTCTCTGTCATGCTGAGGCTGAGTGGTGCTAAAGAGAGCGCCTCCCTCGGTCTTCAGATCTTTGGACTTGCCTACCGCCATGGCTACACTGACAATGTTCTTGTAGTGAATGCAGTCATCAACATGCTCTCACAGTGTGGGCTGCTCAGCTGTGCTTATGGCTTCTTCTGTAATCTCAGTGTCAGAAATGTTGTGACATGGAACGAGATGATTGCAGGCTACGGTCTGCACGGCTGTTCTGAAGATGCGATGAGGCTCTTCCGCAGCTTGGTTTGCTTCGGAGCAAGACCGGATGAGTTCACCTTTCCAGCTGTTCTGTCTGCCTTCCAACAAGATCATGATGCAAGGAACCAAGAGCAAATCCACGCGAGTGTTCTGAAACAGGGGTTTGCTTCATGCCAGTTCGTGTCGACCTCACTTATCAAAGCAAAAGTAGCCCTTGGCTCAGTTCTAGATCCACTGAAAATCATCAAGGACGCTGGCAAGATGGATTTGGTGTCATGGGGAGTCACCATCTCTGCATTCGTGAAGCATGACTTGGATAAAGAGGCCCTTTTTGTTTTCAACCTGTTCAGAGCTGACTGCCCAGAGAAGCCTGATGAGTTCATCCTCGGTACCGTCCTGAATGCCTGTGCAAACGCTGCGTTGATTAGGCAGTGCAGATGCATCCATTCGCTCGTTGTCAGGACAGGGCACAGCAAGCACTTCTGTGTGTCCAGTGCCTTGGTTGATGCCTATGCAAAATGCGGTGATATAACTGCTGCCAAAAGTGCTTTCACTGCAGTTTCATCGGTGACCAAGGACGCCATACTGTACAACACCATGCTGACAGCTTATGCCAACCATGGTCTGATCCATGAAGTCCTCAGCCTCTACCAAGATATGACACAGCTTCAATTGGCACCAACACCAGCTACGTTCGTTGCTGTCATCTCAGCTTGCAGCCATCTTGGGCTAGTCGAGCAGGGGAAGCTTCTGTTCAGCTCCATGCTGTCTGCGCACGGCATGAATCCGACAAGGGCCAATTACGCATGCCTAATTGACCTCCTAGCGCGAAAAGGGCTCCTCGAAGAAGCCAAAGGCGTTATCGAGGCAATGTCGTTCCAACCGTGGCCTGCAGTATGGAGGTCACTGATGAACGGTTGCCGGATCCATGGGAACAAAGAACTCAGTCTGCTTGCAGCAGAACAGATCCTGAGAATGGCGCCAAACAGTGATGGCGCATATGTGTCGATGTCGCATGTCTACGCTGAAGATGGAGATTGGCAGTCTGCAGAGGACACCAGGAGGAAGATGGCTCAGAATCAAGTGCAGAAGGCGCAAGGTTACAGCAGTGTTGAGATTTAGCCATTCAGAGATGTTTTGCTATAGGGTACCAGGGGTTGTAGTTGAAATACTTTAGGTTTAGGGGCAGCTATTCAGAGATGTTGCATGTAGGGAACCACGTTAGGGGCAGCAGCCTTTTGTATTGCAGTGAATGTGAATAGTGAATACATTTTTCCAAGCATCTTGATAACAGACAGGCACACTGAAATTAGGTTAGATCAGCTGTTGTTTGGGCATTTGGTGTACAGTCCTTGCAAATGCGCAAAGGATGTTGTTGTGTCTGTTTTGTGTGCATTCGTAATTTGAGATGAGAGAACTTCAACTAATGGGTAGCTAATAAGGACATTATAAGCAACCATCTAGCGACCAGATCATGCAACTGAACCGCTCACTCATACCACAGCAAAAACTGACATAACATCAAGAATACAATTGGCTAATGATGGCTTACACAAACTAACTGTTGGGCTGTGTATTTGTTGTAAGTTATTGGATTAGGCCCAAGAGGCCCATATGTTTATGTGTATGTATATATGTACTCATCAGACTCAGGAGATAGTGTGTGATTCCAGAAAATTCCCCAAGCATCTTCACTAACTAGCTACCTCAGTTCACATGCTCGCATCTATTTACCGCAGGATGGCAGGACCCTCTCCAAACTGGAAATTAAAGCCCAGTTTATTCGTGTGTCAAACTGTCAATACACTATTAACATTGGAAGGCCCTTACAATTGGAATCAGCCACCACAGTTTGTTTTGTGCTCATACATCTCCTGTGGACTCATTTGCCTCCAGCAATGAATGTATCTCCTACATTCTGGACTTCCTGTTTCAGACAGTTTGCTGTTCAAAATTAGGTTCCTAGTTAGGTTGCTCCAATTCACCCCTGTGAGGTGCTTCTTACATTACGGTTTCCATGAGGTTCCTTGGTTGTATCAATTTTTGCATTGTAGCTTGCAGGTCTGAAAGTATAGTTTCTATCAATTTCTGTCATTGATTTTGTCAAACCCTTTAGTGCAAAACTGTTGGTTGTTGGCTTTGCTGCTATGGGTATTATCCTTGTGCCAATCATGCCTCCGCCCTCAGGCACTAGTGCAGAACTAGTTAAACTGACCGACAGTGTTAAGTCTTTATAGAGCATCTAAACCTATAAAGTTGTTCTAAGCTTTGGCAGTTATAGTAGTTTGGTTATCTTTCTAGGCTTCATTCTCAAAGAACTCCCAGAATGCTTTGGATATCTTTCTGGGCTTCATTCTCTGAACCTAACAAGTTGTTTCAAGTGCAACCGCTGCCTGAATCATTCACTAATAGCAGCACTCCATGTTTTCATTCTGATTATTTTCCGGTTTGTTTTAAGTTTGAATCTGGATCAACTAAAGTTTGGTCTTGTTTTCTGTTGCTGTAGTATCAATGTGTCATTCCTATAGAGTTCTCTATCTGCATTTGTACTGCACTCATGCTAACTCTGTGAGAATGATTTAATGGGCATAATATTTAGTGAGAACTCTGTCTGTCATGTTGCCCAGGAATGTGCCAGGCCGTTTTTCTAAAGCTGCATTCGTTTCGTAATTTTAAGGCTGAAAATGCTACTAGTGCTCAATGACAAACAAGCAAAGAGGTCTCACTTTGTTGTTGGTTACAGAAATTAACATGCATATTTGTTACATTCAGATTCAGCTTTGTTCTTCTGAGCATTTTGACCTCTGTTCTACAAAAATTAACATGAAAGGTACTAGATTTATTCACTAAACTTTTAATACTTATGTAATGTAGGATTCTAAGTCAGTGCTGGAGTGCAGGTTGATGGGCTAGTTAATCACAACACCAATTTAGTACAACACCAATCGTGAATCACATAGGAGAATACTGAATACTGACATAATACAGAATGCAGTTTTTTTTTTAAAAAAAAAACGGCACACAAGTCTGAATAAATATTAGTGTGTTCATATCAGCAGGTAGGCTCTTTGACAAAACAATCCGAACAGAAGCATGCAGACATGATGTTGGTATCCCAAGACGGAATCCGTCATTCTTCTGCAAGCAGATAAGCTGAATCCTTGGAAGTAAAGTAAGTACTTGTGTTCACTGCATGCACAGAACGATCCCCGACTGGCAGGTCGCCATAAGCCTGTTCCTCCATGGCTCGAATGTGCCGTTCATCATGCACAGCACGAAGTACCGGCAACTCTGCATCTGCAGGTCGCAAAACATCCATAGCTTGCTCGATGGGCGGTCGCTGGATCGGGTCTCGATGCGCACACCAGAGGCCCGTAACGAGCACGCGCTCCATTTGCTGCCGGTCGAACTCGCCGTTCAGCCTCTGATCTGCTGCATCAAGAATCATGCCCTGGTCATACAAACGAATGGCCCAGGCTAGTAGCGATGAAGCTCCATTTGGCTGCCTCCATGCCGGCCGCTTGCCACAAGCGATCTCCAGGAGGACAACACCGAAGCTGTAGACATCCAATTCGGCGCGAGGCCAGCGGTTGGTTATGAACTCCGGGTCGATATATCCTGGTGTCCCCGCGACAACTTGCGTTGTTTGTGACTCTTCCCCATGCTCGACAAGCCTTGCTAGCCCAAAGTCACCAAGCTTAGCATTGTATGACACATCAAGCATTACATTTGCAGGCTTGATGTCTCCGTGCACAATGCATTTCTCACAGTCCCGGTGGAGGTAGAGCAAAGCGTTGCCCAGATCAAGTACAATCTTGTACCTAGTGATGTTTTGACATGAGTAACGAAATTTTCAGTTCAATTATTATGAAACAGATCAATGTTTGTAGTGTTCAATCAGATATTCAGTGCTGTAACTGCGAGGGAGATGGAGGTAGACAGGTTAGCCAATTTCGATACCTTTGTTGCCAAGTTAAGATTTCCTCTGGGTCGTAGAGATGCTTGTCAAGGCTGCCTTGAGCCATAAGCTCATAAACAAGGAGGAGCCGTTGCTGGCTGTCGCACTCGCACCAGCCGACAAGGTTGACAATGTTTCGGTGCCTCAGCTGGGTCATGACTTTCATCTCTGCCTTGAACTCCCTCAACCCTTGCTCAGATTGTTGTTGAGAAGACAACACCTTGATGGCCACATGACAGTCCTGGTTCCGCAAGTAGCCTTTGTACACAGGGCCAAACCCTCCCTGGCCGAGCTTGTTCTCATCGGCGAAATTGCTCGTTGCAGCTACCAGCTCGCGGAGTTGGAATCGTCTAGGCCCCATTATTCCTCCCGGGAGTTCCAGCAGTTCGTTTTGTTGCACTCTCTTACTACGGTTGCACCACAGCAGGAGCCATACAGCAATGCCAAGTACAAGCACGATAACTGAAACTAAGGCAATCCAGAGACCTACTGTAGTTTTGTGTGACACATGTGCTGGCTGGTGAGGTTTGACTGTTCCATTTTGCATCTCTGTAGCCTCTTCCTGATATTTGCTTGAGATGTGTGAATACCGGTGCTGCTGCTGCCCAGGACTGTCATTATTCCCTGTCATCTCTCTTAGACCAACAATGATCATGTCACTATTCTCCACACCACCTTCAGCCCATGTACCATTGAGTGTATCAATCAACGACCTACCATGAGACCAACCGAATTTGTTAAGCATCATGTTCTCATCCTCCCTTCTGATGCCCAAACTCTGATTGAATGGCAGATCAAAAGCACCAATGACAGGAATGCAGAGCATCAATCCAAGAAGGGTGACGCTCACTACCTTTCTTCTCAAGTAGAAAAGCAGAGAAGGCACTGCATCCTCTGGGTGCGTCTCGAGCACAATCATCTCGTCTTCAACTCTAGCAATGCGTTTTGCAATCAGTAAAGCAATCACAAGATTTCCAACTGATGATGTTATTGCCGTTGCAATCAGTAAAGCAATCACAAGAGTTCCAATTGGTGACATTATTGCCATCCACGGCCAAGGTGGGCTCTGAATGAACCTATTAAACAGAAACAGATCATACAAAGAGCCTTCAAAGAATAGACTAGGATTTTTTTTATTTTTAGTCCTTTTTAATCAATATTTTAATAATAGCCGTAGCTAAAAAAGAATAATCAAAACTGACCCCTTTGGTCACGTCAGCGCGGCTGGCGCGACAACACCACGCTGTCGCGCAACATGTACTAAGCGTGACAAGGGGAGCCACGGTGGCGGAGACCGGTGACCCAAGCTGGCGTGGCGGCGTGGTGGGGCTCACCTGTCACGCCATCGACTCGGGCGCGACAGCGTGTCGTATAAGCGAGCTGCGCGACAAGGCCATATATGTGTCGCAGCTCCTTTCTTCTTCCTTCTCACTTCTCTCTCCCTCTTTCCTGAGCTCGTGAACGGGAAAGCTCTAGGTCTTCTCTCTCTTCTCTTCCTCCCATTCTCTTTGTCTATGTGATCAAGTTTGGATTTGGCTTTTGGTTTGCAACGGTCTCGTGCAGGAGGTATGACTCCCTCACCCTATGATGTTTTTTATTGAATTGATGTTTGTAGACTACTATGGTTTACAGTGCAGTGGCAATACTAGCTTTTGTTTGGACGACACGGGCTTTTGTTTGCACCAACCCTATATCGGAGGCGGAGACCGCTGACCCGAGCTTTTGTAGAAAGTGGGTCGGGCCGACCAACCCTATATCGGGCTGGCGCGACAGGGTGGGCCCCATCGTCCGCCACACCAGCTCAGGTCGTCGGTCGCCGCCATCGTGGCACCCCTTGTCACACCTGTACATGTGACGCGACAGAGTACGTGATGCTGTTGCGCCACTCGCGCTGTCGCGGCCAAAGGGGCTAGATTTATTTAATCTTTTTAGCCTCGGTTATTATTAAAATATTGATTAAAAAGGATTAAAAAGAAAAAAACCAATATACTACATGGATAACACATTTTAATTACATTACAGTTTTTTTGGAAAAGGAAATAGATCACCTGCAGTGCATCTCATGCTTCCTTGACGGGTCATTGAAGTTCAGTGTGCTGACATGGCACAGTGGGCTGACATGGCACATGCCACTCCCTGTATCATTCGAACCATACATACTGAGTGGTCTGTCATACGTAGTAGTATCATACACGTTTACCATGATGGATTGCTTGACCGCGACCTCGTGAAGCACCTTATCAACAAGCTCTTCAATGTAAATTATGCCACCTAAATAGCTGTTTGCGCGCACACACAATAGAGGCAGCGGTAATTCAGTTTCAGTTGTGGGCGATTTCTTACTTGAAATAGGAGGCCGGACTCATGAAAAGCTTACCCTATAGCAGCCTCAATGCGCTCATGTGGCCTGGCATTTGAGGGAAGCTCGTACTTGTACACAGCGAAGGTCAAGATCACTCCGATGCGATTACCGAGAAGCTTAAAAGGAGCAGTAAGAACACCCTTGCCAGATTCTCTAGCTCGAAGTACAATTTTCCTGTCGTCCTATAACAGCCATAGATGTATAGAGATTAGTGGATGGATAGCCCTGGTTGCTCGTGACGTGAACAATTTTGTTACCATGAGTAATTGAGCCCCGAAGTAAACAAGAAAGGGCAAAAATCCGAGGTGAAAAAGGGTAGCAACACGACGACTTTTTTTTTTGTTTCGAAGGGAGGGAGGCTTATATTAAATATTGGCACAGTCCATCCCAAAATTACACATAAAAAATCTAAAATAAAAAAATACATAATATTCTATGCAGATTCTTTCATCGTCTTCTTCCCCAAGTATCCAACGAACACCGGAGCCAAAGTGTAGTCCTTATGTTGAATCCAACGACCAACCCAAACATTGGACATGCCGCAAGATCCAATGCTTCGGAACCAATCCAAAACGCAACTAAATCGCTGAAAAAATATCGGCAGTTGTATCGTGGGCTGCAACATAGGCTGCAGAATCATCACCTCGAGACCTTGAATTTATCTCCGCGACCATTGACGATGAGATCGATGACCCGCAGTCGCTGTCCTCACAGGGGCTCCCAGAAGCACCCTTCCCCTTGCAGATAAAGGGCACAAATTGCCCCCCCTGCCGATGAAATCGACTTGACGCCCGCAACGACGATCTCGTCATGGCAATCACCGAAGTCATCGCAGAAACACGATTCCGACCGAAAATCATCTGATTTCGTCAAAAGATTTATTTGAATCAAACCCTAAGCATCTGAAAATTTTGTGAGAAATTTAAAAGATGGGTCCCCTCCCCTTCTTATCCCAGCAGACGCGTCGGATAGGAAGAAGGAGAGGGCCCCAGGCGGTGGTGGTGAGGAGTTGTGTGGTTGCGGCGATCTTGCTAGAGGAGCGGGCCTGGCTTGCGAGACGAAAAAGTTTAACACATGACGACTGGTGAGCACATGATGAACACCGGAGACTCCAGCTTTTAAGGAACACCTAATACGCACTTACTTTGTTGCTACTTTTCTTGACCCCGCGCCGTCCCTGTGACGACTCGGGGGGGCATCTGCCGCCGCCGTCAAGGGACCATCGGGGCCTCCCCTTCAGCCACCGTCGCCACCCAGTCTGACGTGCGGTGGCGGCGGCCCACGACATTGCTGCTCAAAAAGGCTGCAGCCGTGTCCTCCTCCCCCCCCCTCCTTCCTCCCCTCCCTCTTCCTCTCCTCCCCCTCGCCCTCCCCGACCTCCTCCTTGGCCAGCGGAGCTCTGTGGCCGGCGGTGCTCCTAGGATGGCGGTGTCATTACTGGCTGCCAGATCTGCCTTGCTGCGACGACTGTTGGCTCTATGGTGGCGGCACCCCCTCGCTGGTAGCCAGATCTGGCTTGGGCCAGGCCAGGGTGGACCGGTGGCCACGCCTCCAACCTGGTGGCGGTCGGATCCGGCAAACGGGTGGCCAGGCGGCCATTTTCCACGCTCGCTCCTCGCTGGTGGTGACCAGGGGCTGTGGTGGCAGCGGCCACATCTCCTACTACGAGGCCCGATTCCCCGACGGTGACCTGCGCCTTGCGTGCGCGCTGGGGCTGAGCCTGGACGCCAGCCGCATCATGCTCGCCTACACCGGCTGCTCGGGCAGCGTGGCGGGGCTCCGCGTCGCCAATGGCCTCGCTTCGAGCTGTGGCCTGGGCGCACGCGTGCTCTTGGCCACCTCTAAGATCCGCGCCTCTAGGGTGGCGGCAGGCATTCAGCGCCCCAGGGCTGGGCGGCCAGCTTGCACCCACGGTGGGGGCCGGCTGGCTCACACTCACGATGGTCGGCGCTGGATCCACAGCCTTGGCCCTAGGCGTCCACCGCGCTGCCTTGTGTGGCGTCGTGGCTTGGAGTTCTGGGCGAAAGCTCAGCTCGGCTTTGGCCAAGCCGAAGACGCTGACGCCTCAGGCGCCACATATATACCTCCTTGGAGGAGTCGTTGATGAACCCCAAGCCTCCCGTCGACGGCGTCTAATTCTGGGCGTAAGCCCTACCTTACATGTTGTGAGGCCAGCCGCGATGGCGTCCACATATTGTACCCTTGGGCGTCACCCCCTTTCTGAAGGCGTCGCTAAAGAATCGTTTGCCCCGTGTGGTCGCCGACTTCCATGGCTCCTTCCATCGGCTTTTGGTGGAGTTCCTCGTTGTGCATGTATGTGCTTATATTCTACTCGTGATGGTTTGTCCTGCAGCAATTGACCTTATCATCATCGCTGCTCATAGCGGATGATTTGTCGCTATTGCTGGTTTCTCTGGCAGATACTTTGCCACCATTGTCGTTGGTCGCTCTACTCCGGTGCATGCTTAGGCGCCGTCGGTGGAATCTCTGGCGGATGCATTGCCGCTTTTAGCTCTTTGATCCCATCTCTGGCACGTTCAATGCCGAGAGTGTGTTGGCCCTCTTCTTGGTGGATACTTGGCCGCCGCGTTCGTTGGTGGATGCTTTGCCGCCGTTGCTGCTGGATGCTCGCCTCTCTTAGCTAGTTGGATACTTTGCCACCAGGGCATTGTCTAGTTTGTAGGCAACCATCGCGTGTTGTACCCTATTATTGCATGCTCAGTTGGTAGGTTTTGGGTGTCGAGGGTAGTCGCTCTTTCTTTCCTTCTTTTATTGTTTCAAGTTGTATTCCAGGTTACTCACCACTAACTTGGTGGTTCGTAATTTAAAGCATCTAGGCCCCTAATTGGGTTTCGGTGTTTAATGACAACACGAGATTACTATGACTAATGTGTGTTTTGTAGAGGCAATTTAAGTTAGGTCATGGTAATGGCAATTGATTGGGCAATCATGGTGGTCATGCCCCTGACGATGGAAATCGTTTTGGTTTTCAAAGGATGGATGACAAGGTTAAGGACGGACTAGTTCTAAGTGTCGTTTGGCGTTGAAGAGACACTTAGAGTAGTTTAGGACTTTGTTTTTCCTTTGGCCATACTATTAACGGGGGTATGGATTAGTAGCTTGACCTAGGTGAGTCTAGTGGGTTAGGTGTGGTGCACACTTGTCAAATCCAGCACTAGGTAGCTCAAGAATAGCCCTAAGATCAATTGGAGCAAACTTCATTTACATAGGATTTTGAGTTGGAAGTGAATGGAGGGTCAAATGACTGATCGGACGCTGGTATGGTTGTGACCGAACGCTGAAGGGTGAGTCCAGTCAGTTCATTTGATCAACTGAAGTCATCTGGTACTGACCGGACGCTGAGTGAAAAGTGACCAGACGCTGGGTGCCTGTGTCCGGTCAACTCTAGAGAGGTTCCAGAGAGAGAATTTCCTGATCGGATGCGTCCAGTCGATGCTGACCGGACGCTGGTTAGGATCTGGTAACTGACCGGACGCTGAATAGCTAAGTGATAGGACTCTAGGTGCCAGCGTTCGGTCAACATCAGTAAGGTTCTAGAGAGCGTTTTTCATGACCGGACGCGTCTGGTCAGTGATGACCGGACGCAGATCAGAGTCCGGTCAGAACTTAACGGCTCTTTCTGACACAGTGGTGGGAATAACTGACCGGAGCATTCGGTCACCCCGCAGAGTGCTGACTCTGCCTCCCAACGATTTGTTTTGAATGAGGGGATATAAATACTTCCTCCACTCGTCCATGGGAGGTCTCTTGCCCATTTGATCAGCTGAGAAACACTTTGAGAGTGCTAAGGAGAGCAAGAGCCTAGTGAGGTGATTGAGATTTGAGAATCCAAGATAAGGTCCTCATTAGTGCAAGGAGAGTAGCAAGTGTGCATCCACCCTTCTCATTAGGCTTGTTGTGGTCAAGTGAGAGTTTGAGCTTGTTACTCTTGGTGATCGCCATCACCTAGATGGCTCAGTGGTGATTGGGAGTTTAGTGATCATCCGGCGAAGCTTGTGGATGACCCAACTCAAGTTGTGAGCGGTTGTGGGTGATTCACCGCGGTGGAGTGTCAAAGAATCAGCCCATAGAGAGCACTTGATCCTTGCGCGGATCAAGGGGGAGCTACACCCTTGCGCGGGTGCTCCAACGAGGACTAGTGGGGAGTGGCGACTCTCCGATACCTCGGCAAAACATCGTCGTGCTCATTTCCCTCTCTTTACTTTGAGCATTTACATTTGAGCAATTCATTTTTTGTCTTTACATTCCTAGAATAGCCATGCTAGAGTACGATTGGAACTTAAGGTGCTAAACTTTTGTGCGGTAAAACAATAGATACACATTCTAGGCACAAAGGGTGAAGTGGGTTAAGTGTAGGGTTTAATTATTGCAAAGAATTTAGAATTATCCCAAATCACCCTCTCTTGGGCATCTTGATCCTTTCAATTGGTATCAGAGCCTCGTGCTCACTAAATTAGGCTTAACCGCCTAGAGAAAGATGTCTCACGGGGATGGACCTCCTCCTATCTTTGAGGGAGATGATTTTCCTTATTGGAAAATCCGCATGGAGGCTTATTTAGAAGCTTTAGATGTTGGAATTCTTAGAGCCGCCTCTCAAGGTTTCCCAAAACCTAAGGATCCCACACACCTTCAAGGCGATAAGGTTAATTACGAAAAATGGAATACAAAGGCTAGAAACACCATCTTTAGAGGCCTTTGCAAAGATGTGTTTAACCGTGTGTGGAACCAAAAGGATGCCCATGCACTATGGTCGGTCATTTGTGCGCTCCATGAGGAAACAAAGAGTGAGCGTGAGGAACGCTATCATCTTGTTATGAAAAATCTTAATTCATTTGAGATGCTTCCTAAAAAATGCTAATGAGATGTATTCACGCTTGAATGTCCTTGTAGAGGAAGTCAATGGGCTTGGACTCACACAAATGCAACCATCCGATATTGTAAGAAAGATCTTGAGTGTCCTCCTATTGACAAATATGGGCATATTGTGATGAGTAGCTTCATCAAGGTGATCTTTCCACCGCTACACCAACTCAAATATTGGGAAAGATCAATGCACATGAGATGTATATGCATATCACACCACAAGATGGCTCTTCTTCTACCAAGAAGAAAGACTTGGCATTCAAGGCTAGCCAAGAGAAGAAGGGCAAAGCAAGAGTTGATCCTGAGAGCTCAAATGATGATGAAATTTATGATACAAGTCTTGCTCTCATGGTGAGAAAGACCGCCAAGATGCTTAAGAAGCTCAACAAGAACGGTGTCAAGTTTGATAGCAAAAAGAAGAAATTCTTCACTAGCAATAGAAGGAAGCCCATCTCGGAGATGGATTGCTATAATTATGGAGAACTTGGTCATCTAGCACATCAATGCCCTTCTTCACTAGCAATAGAAGGAAGACAAATACAAGAAGAAGTACAAGGGCAAGAAAGATGACTCCAGTGATGAAGATGATGATGAGAAGAAGAAAAACAAGCCATATAAGAAGAAAGATGGCAAGAAGAAGGATTTCCACAAAAATAAGAAAAATGGCAAGGCTTACATCGTTGGTGATTGGCTCATGGATATTGATTCATCAAGTTGCTCATCCGATGATGAAAGTGAGAACGAGAAGGTGGCCGCTATTGTAATTGACACTTCACTATCTTCACCGACACCACCGCCGTCATCCTCTACACACCTATGCCTTATGGCCAAGGGTGAACAAAAGGTACAAAATGATAATGATAATAGTGGTGATGATCATGCTAGCAATGATGATAGTGATAGTGATGATAAATTTGAATCACCTTCCTATGATGATCTTGTTAAATTGCTTAACCAATATACTAAAATTATTAGAAAGACAAGAGCTAAAAATGAAAAGCTAGAACTTGAGAATGACTCACTCTTAGCTAAATATGACATAGCAGAAAAAGGTAGTGTTGAGTTTAGAGAAGAAAACAAAACTATGTCATCCAAACTCAAGGAGCTCAAATCCTCTAAAAAGGAGCTCAAAGAAAAACATGATAAACTTGAGGGGATACATAATGATCTCATCACTAGCTACAATGTGCTAAAACAAGAGTACACAAATCTTAAGGTTAATCATGATAATCTTGTTGTCTCTCATGAGTTATTATCCAATGAGCCACATGATGCTACTAACCATGTTGTTAAGATTGATATAGCTACATCATATGATGACTTAATTGTTGAAAGCATTGAGCAAGGGTCTAGTGGCAAAGGCAAGAAAGTGGTTGAGACCGACAACTATGATGAGTATGTCAA